ACATAATGGGTTTATGGTTTGTCAGTCCAGGGTATTTATTGGGGCACTTTCCGAGGCACAAAGGATGCGATTAAAACCAGTGATTGGCAGATTTTTTCCGTAAAGTGAAGGACAGTAAAGACTTTTAGCATGTGCGCCTGCATTCCCTGCTGTCATAGCACAAAAGTAGTAATATGTAACTGAACCACCAGGGAGACCAGCCTGGCCAACGTGGTGAAACCCCATCTCTACTAAAGATACAAAAATTAGCATGGTGGTACCCACCTGTAATCCCAGCTACTTGGGAGGCTGAGGCAGAAGAATTGCTTGAACCCAGGAGGCAGAGGCTGCAGTAAGCCAAGATCACGCTGCTGCACTCCAGCCTGGGCAACAGAGCTAGACTCCATCTCAAAAAAAAAAAACAAACAAAAAAAAAAAAGACACAGAGTTAAGGAGGTGACATTTACTTACATTAGCTGAGTTCCCTGTCATCGCAGCCCATGGACATACAGTGCCTCTTTCAAATCCCCTAACGTGGTACTCTTCTTTTTTTTTTTTCCAAAAATGATTTAGGATGCAAAGAGTGGATGTGCTCATAGGTCACATGATGTTTTGTCCTGACAATGGTTTTTTCAGTGAGAGCTCAGACAGAAGACCTGGGGGAGGGCCTCACTGCATGGTTTTGAGTAAAGTGTGTCTTGCCCTCCCTCTGTTCCCTCTCCAGTACATGGAAGACAACTTGGGGGTGATGTCAGTGGGTTTCCTGCTCAGCAGTCCTGATGACGCTGTTATCTGGAGGGGACCCAAGAAAAACGGTTTGCCACTCTGCCTTTTTTTGTTTCTCACATCCTTCCTTGAGCGCCGTGGCTCTTGGCCTCATCTGCACCCTGTCCTGCCAGTCTCAGCCTGCTGGGCCTCACAGTGTATTGTTTTTAAGCATCCATTGCCTCTTCTTCACGGGTTGAAAAGAACTCATTGAAATACCCGTTTTCCCTTATATAAGTATCTGCTGTGAGTTTTTCTCCTCAAAAGCTATAGAACCCTGGCCAGGTGGCGTAGCTCACACCTGTAATCCCAGCACTTTGGGAGTCCGAGGTGGGCAAATCACCTGCGATCAGGAGTTTGAGACCAACCTGGCCAACATGGTGACACCCCGTCTCTACCAAAAACATAAAAAACTAGCTGGGTATGGCGGCGTGCACTTGTAATCCCAGCTACTCGGGAGGCTGAGGCAGGAGAATCGCTTGAACCCAGGAGGCAGAGGTTGCAGTGAGCAGAGGTCATGCCAGTATAGAACCCCGAAATTATTTTTATCGTGGTTTCATTGTGGCTTATTTGGGTCAGAGAGGTGAGATCAACAGCAGGTTGATCTGGTACTGAGACTTAGGGTAATAATGTGAAACTGTTATCAGGACGAGCTTCCTCAGCCTCAGCACTACTGAAATATGGAGCCAGATAAATAAAGAAAAAATGAGCATCCCCTGCGATTCCTCTTTCTAGGCATGATCAAGCAGTTCCTCCGAGATGTGGACTGGGGAGAGGTGGACTACCTCATTGTGGACACCCCACCTGGGACATCGGATGAACACCTTTCTGTCATCCAGTACCTGGCCGCGGCACACATCGACGGAGCAGTGATAATCACCACTCCCCAGGTGAGCAGGCTCCCAGGTGGAGCTGGGTCCAAACTGTGCTCCACACTGCAAGGCTTCCTTCCTGCAAGGCTTCCTTCCTGCAAGGCTTCCTTCCTGCAAGGCTCTGATACCCTGGTCTCACCAAGGTTCTTCCCGGTGTGTATTCCACAGCCGCATTCAATGCAGATCTGCAAAATCTCTTGTTAAAAATGTCAGCTGGGCACAGTGGTTCATACCTGTAATCCCAGGACTTTGGGACGCTGAGATGAGAGAATCGCTTGAGCCCAGGAGTTCAAGACCAGCCTGAACAATATAGTGAAACCCCATCTCTCCAAAAAGTATTTTAAAATTAGCCAGACGTCATAGCTCGCACCTCGAGTTCCAGCTACTCGGGAAGCTGAGGTGGGAGGATCATTTGAGCCCGGGGAGAGGAGGCTGCCATGAGCCACGATCACGCCAATGCACCCCAGCCACCACAACAGAGTGAGACCTTGAGGAACACAGGTGCCAGACACACTCATGAGGGCTCAGCCAGTGCAGTGGCAGGCCCAGCGGCCATGGGAAGGGTGTCTGGGTCAGAAAATGGTGATAGGATTCATGTCCATTTTGGCACTCTGCAGAGAGGGGACATGGGGCACATGACGGAGCAGAACAGAGTGGTTGGTGCTAGGCACAGTGGCTCATGTCTGTAGTCCCAGCATTTTGGGAGGCCAAGCCGGGCAGGTCACTTGAGGTCAGGAGTTCAAGACCAGCCTGGCCAACACGGCAAAACCCTGTTTCTACCAAAAAATACAGCCCGGTGTGGTGGCGGGCACCTGTAATCCCAGCTACTTGGGAGGCTGAAGCAGGACAATCACTTGAACCCCGGAGTCAGGGTTGTAGTGAGTCGAGATCACGCCACTGCACTCTAGCCTGGGCAACAGAACGAGACTCCGTCTCAAAAAAAATAAAAAACAAATGAGAGACTGAGCTGCAGCCCAGTGACTTTCTAGCTGAATGCCTCTTCCTCTGCATCCCAGCCTTAGTGCCGGGAGTCAAACATGTATGTCAGGAAAAAAACAGGCCCAAAGCTGCAAGTCTTTTGAGCTCACGTGAGTGGTGAAGCCACAGGTGCTAAGGAGTTACTACACCTGACAGTGACCAAGTCACAGCAGTTCTTGGGCACAGGGATCTATGATAATGTGAACTGGGGAAAACAGGTAGCTACTGAGCGCTGTTCATGCGCAGTAATCAAACTAAAAACTCAGAGTTCAGAAGGGAATGTGGCGTTGTCCACGTTGGGCAATACTCCCTATTTCTTTTTAGTCCATAAAGTTGTTTGTGTTCACAATTATCTGTCTAGATCAGGGATCAGCAAACTTTCCTGTAAAGGGCCAGATAGTAAGTAGGCTTTGCGGACCCCATGGCCCCTGTCACAGCTCCTCAGTTGTGCCACTGTGGAGTGAAGCAGCCACAGGCAGTGCCTAGAGCGATGGGCATGGCTGGTTCCAATGGAACTTGATTTATAAAACCAGCCAGATTCAGTCTGCAGGCTGGGGTTTGCCAAGCTCTGGTCTAGAAAACAGTGCACACTCAGGCTGAATATATTTAGGACATGGAGCGTGGAGATGTGTTAAAAGGTCATTTTCAGATAGGCATGGTGGCTCACGCCTGTAATCCCAACACTTTGGAAAGCCAAGGCAGGAAGATCACTTCAGACCAGGAGTTTAAGACCAGGCTGGACAACATAGCAAGACCCTATCTCTACAAAAAATTAAAAAGCTAGACAGGTGGAGTAGCATATGCCTATAGTCCTAGCTACTCGGGAGGCTGAGGCAGGAAGATTGTGTAAGCCCAGGAGGTCGAGGCTGCAGTGAGCTATGATTGTGCCACTGCACTCCAGCCTGGGCAACAGAGTGAGTTCCTGTCTCTAAAAATAAGAAGTCATTTTCTTTCAAATTTATTTCTTGCGATTTGGCTGTGTGGGAAGTAAATAGCACCTCAAACAAACAGGGCTTAGCGCTAGTAGGCACTAAATAAATATGGATTTGGCGGGGTCAGGTTTTAGTTCATTTTCACACTGCTGTAAAGAACTGCCTGAAACTGGGTAATTTATAAAGGAAAGAGGTTTAATTGACTCACAGTTCCACATGGCTGGGAAGGCCTCAGGAAACATACAATCATGGAAGAAGGCGAAGCAGGCGCATGATACACAGTGGCAGCAGTGAGAGAGACAGGGTGTAGGAGGAACTGTGAAACATTTATGAAACCATCAGATCTCATGAAGACCCACTATCACAAGAACAGCATGGGGGGAACCGCCCCCATGATCCAGTCACCTCCCACCAGGTACTGCCCTCAACACGTTGGGATTGTGGGGATTACAATTCGTGATGAGATTTGGATGGGGACACAGAATCAAACCATACCAGGGCAGAAACCTCTAAGGCGTCACGATAGCAGATCTACTGCATTGCAGCCACCCCCTTGGGTGCACGGACGTTCCCTTTCTCGCACTTTGATGCTGGAATCACTGATCTCTTCACCTTCGTAGGAGGTGTCCCTCCAGGATGTCCGGAAAGAAATCAACTTCTGCCAAAAGGTGAAGCTGCCCATCATCGGGGTGGTGGAGAACATGAGTGGCTTCATCTGTCCTAAGTGCAAGGTGAGGGTGCGTGGGGCTGCCAGGCGATCTGAACAAGATGCTGCCTTCATGGTTGAGGAAACAGTCAGAAGGGTGCCCTGCAAATGGTTTCTGCTTTCCCTGGCATTTTGGGAATTGGAATCATAATTAAAACCCCTTTCTGTTGACTAAAGGAAAGTTCTTTTGGTGTTAAGTGTTTCACATTCAAACTAAGCTTGTGTGTGTGTGTGTGTGTGTGTGTGTGTGTGTGTGTGTGTAAGTTTCTTTAAAATGTAGTCCATCCAGGCTGGGTGTGGTGGCTCACGCCTGTAATCCCAGCACTTTGGGGGGCCAAGGTGGGTGCGTCACCTGAAGTCAAAAGTTTGAGACCAGGCTGGCCAACATGGTGAAACCCCATCTCTACTAAAAATACAAAAAAATTAGCCAGGCACGGTGGTGGGTGCCTGTAATCCCAGCTATTCAGGAGGCTGAGGCAGGAGAATCATTGGAACTGGGGAGGTGGAAGTTGTAGTGAGCCAGGATTGTGCCATTGCACTCCAGCCTAGGTGACAGAGCGTAACTCTATCTCAGGAAAAAAAAAAATGCGGTCCATCCTGGTGACTCTGCAAGAAAATCATGTTTCCTCCCCTTTGAATTTGCCTTGCAGAAAGAATCTCAGATATTCCCTCCCACGACTGGGGGCGCGGAGCTCATGTGCAAGGACCTGGAGGTCCCTCTCCTCGGCAGAGTGCCCCTGGATCCACTCATAGGTGGGTGACCCCGGCATGGGGCGGGACCTCACTCCTCGGTCAGTCCCACAGTCATGGGTCAGGCATGACAGCGGGTAGCTACGGAGAGGGATGATGGAAGGAAGAAGGTCAGTGGGGCACTGGAGCCAGACCCACCCTCCAGCTGGCACCCCTAGAGGCCTCCGGGAGAAAAGCCGAGACCCCTGCGGGTAGGCAGCGGGAGCAAGCAGGCCTCAGGCAAATGGGTGAGGCCTGTAAGAACAGGCTAGAAGTTGGTGAGGGCGGTGGTGGCAGGGGACTGAGGAGGGCGCTCAGTAGAGGGGTGGCTCCAGGGGACACAGATCACTGACCTGTGAGCCGGGGCCACGTTCCCAGAATGGTCCGGGGGGAGGGTGGAGGCCGAGTATTTGTGAGGAGGGTTGGAGGGTGGGAGCCTGGAGGCGGGGAGAGCGGAGGCCATCTGGGGTGCCCTGGCGGAGGGCCAGGCCTGCATGGGGAGCTCAAGGGGAGAATGGGAGCCTGTGGGAAACGGCTAAGTGTCATCATCACTGAGTGTCAGTGTCCCGTGCCTGGGATCAGGAGGCACAAGGGTGGCTGCCCTGCGGTCAGAGTTCAGGATAAGGCCCTGGGTTCTGGTGTTGGTGTAGAAAGGAGGGGACACACAAGAGAGAAAGTGACAGGATCTGATGGTCGAAGTTGTCCCCACTGCCGGTACAAGCCACCCGGAGGAGGGTCCGTCCCTCAGAGACAGTGAAGCAGGAGCCAGGCCGGGCCCTCAGGGGTGCTGCGGCTGAGAGGTGAGGGGGCTCAGGTTGTCAGCAGGCTCTGGGGTCAGTCAGGAGAGGTTGGTTTGTGTCCATGCAGGCAAGTGTTGAAGCCACGAGGCATGGACAGGACTGCCAAGGGGCTGCACAGAAAGCGGGAGCCAGGACAGTGCTGGGGCGGCTGCCATGAGGAAGTGGGGAAGGGGTGCGAGGAACACTCGGAGGATGGGAACGGCCCTGGAAAACCCCAGAGACCCCCTGCACCCGGGAGGCTGGGTCCCAAACTCCTTCTTCCCTTCTTCCCACATCCCTAAATGCTTCTCTGGCATGTGATTTCCCCGACAAAATATAGAAAAGTATAGCTGCTTTCTCAGCCTTCCCCAGCATTATAAAACACTCACCAGGCAGCTTTTGCAGTGACCAGAAGTGGTGCTGAGAGCTGCCCTCAAAGGTCCCTGGAGGCAGGCAGGCCGCATGAATGGATGTGACTGGGTGGGGAGCTTGCAGCAGCCGGGGCACAGCCATTCCTGCCAGCTTGCACCTCTGCCACAGGTCAGCTCTGACGAGATGGGATTGATGGACAGGACATTTGTCAGGGGAAACTTCTGTGGGAAAAAAATGACAAGGGAGAGCATTAGCCCATGATGAAGGAGTGGGGGAAGGAACATATCAGCCCGCAAGAGCATCTAAGCCCACAGGAGTATCTCAGCCCATGGAAGTATCTTAGCCCAAGGGAGCATCCCAGCAGTCAAGAGCATCTCAGCCCAAGGTAGCATCCCAGCCCTCAAGAGCATCTCAGCCCACGGGAATATCCCAGCTCCCAAGAGCATCTTAGCCCACAGGAGCTTCTCAGCCCACAGGAGCATCCCAGCCCAAAGGAGCGCCTCAGCCCACAGGAGCATCTCAGCCTACTGGAGCATCCCAACCCTCAAGGGCATCTCAGCCCATGGGAGCATCCCAGCCTGAAGGAGCATCTGAGCCCACTGGAGCATCTCAGCCTACTGGAGCATCCCAACCCTCAAGAGCACTTCAGCCCACAGGAGCATCGCAGCCCAAAGGTGCACCTTAGCCCACAGGAGCACGATCTCAGCCTACTGGAGCATCTCGGCTCACGGGAGTGTGTCAGCCTGCTGGAGCACCTCAGTGTACTCTACTTTTTAGCATCTCAGTCTGCTGGAGTGTGTCAGTCTGTTGGAGCACCTCAGTCTGCTGGA